GGAATGTATAGAGGACAATAATCTGTATACGAATGTCTGAAACTATGTTCTCTTTAATCTCAGATTATGACAGCACAGCCCAATAACATCCCATCTAAACTGGACCAGCAAGACAGGCAGGCCGTCTCCTGTAGTGCTCCCAGCAGTCCTCACTGTTGGAGAGCACAGCCGGGTTGGGGGGGGGTGGAAGGAAAAGGGGAGGGAAAGTCTGTCCTGTCAGTGACAGCATTAAACACTACCCTAGACCTAGCCTCAGGAAGGGCAGGCACTCCAAAAACATCTGAAACAAGTCAACGAATCTGTGAAACACCTTTTGAAATACACCAATTTAGATAAAATCGCATTCTTTACATTTTGCCTGAACTTTATTTTTTTTAATTCAAATTTGTCTTTATTGTTGAAAGTATTACAGATGTCTCCTTTTATTCCCCCTTGACCCCTTCTACTTCCCCCCAGGCCTTCCCCACACTATTGTCTGTGTCCATGGGTTATGCATAGATGCATATAAATTCTTTGGTTAATCTCTCCCCACTCCCACCTTCCCACTGAGATTCTTCAGTCTGTTCCATGCTTCTGTGTCTCTGGATCTATTTTGTTCATCAGTTTATTTTGTTTATTAGATTCCACATATGAGTGAGATCATCTGAATCTGAATCAGGAAGAATCAGAAAACCTGAGTTTTAAAGTGCCGCTATGTGGACAAAATCAGGAGGTACAGATGGATGTGACGGTCACTAAAATTGAGGCACTCTTAGTTCTTTGATTTTAGTCATGGCCCCTAACACACAGAATGACCAGCATGCAAACAGCATAGAGGTAGATACACAGTTGGGAAGACGTGGCTTGTACAAGAGTTTCTACAACAGTTTTATACAGGTTCATATTGGGCTCTGTAGGTTAATTTCATAACTTTCTATTTTATAGCTTCTCTTGGTTTTTTTTGTAGTAATTCCATTGATTCTTTTGGATTTTGCCGATTTATCATTAAAAATCTACTTGCTTGCTTTCATTATCTATAAAGACGTTATTCAGCTCCCTACTCCTTTTTTTTTCTCATAGTTTTGTATGGCATTCAACCAATAATTTGTCTATTGATTATTTTTAAGTAACATGAATTTTCTGTAGTTTAAGAATAGAGGGGTATGGCCCAGATAGCTTTTCTAGCTTTATAGGATAAACATTTTTATTTTCATGAAGTTAAAAAAAAAAAAGATGATCTAGCACACACTCTCCCCCTGTCTGTCTGCAATACTTCTTTCTGCACCTTCTGTTTCCTTTGCCCCTGTTGAACCTGCCCTGCAGAGTCTGCTCCAGCACTTTCTATTCATTGCAGGCCTTTGACCTCCTTGCACTCACCCACTCAGAGGAGCATCGAAGTCCCTCCCAGTTGCTGTCACTGTCCTAAGAATGGCCCAACGAGCAGCCAGCATGCACTCTGATGGCAAGGTGGAAGATCCCTGGCTCTGAGAGTAGGCTCTAGGCCCTGTGCCTTCCCTGAGCTTCCTCCCTCGCACTTTCGGGTACGGCGCAGTTCTTAACACTGCTCATGGTTTGTTCCCCTCACTCCTACTCTGAGGTTCATGGAGATACCTGGTCTGCTATACTGGGTGGGGCAAAAGTAGATTTACTTGAAACACAGAGTTTATTCTAGTATTACTATTTATTAATCTTTGTATTATTTTCCATATGAACAACTGTAAACCTACTTTTGCCCCATCCTGTATTTGTTGTCAATGTCATCCATTGCCTTGGTTTTAGTTGCTCTAATTATATGAGGAGTTTCAAAACCTATGCCACTACCATCCTCCCAGAATCCTCTCCTATTTGACCTTTCAAGCTATGTTCAAGCATTACTTTAATAAAAATAAACTGTAACTTTAAACAGACAAATACAGAGAGGACCAGACACGTCTCAACTTTCCTTGATAAGGATTTTCATTACTTATTAAAAATTAAAAGTAAATATTGAAACCCCATTGCTATTGATACTATGATGTACACACTGACTTTTAAAACTACATGACCCCCAGTGGCAACAAGCAAACCCAGGACCCATTTCTAAATCCCATTTTCCAATAAGTGGAACCAGGGCTCTTTAGAGAAATAACAGATTCTAGGTTTGGGGTTTGGAAGGCACAATAGAAGCCAAGACTGTCCCACAGGACAAGAAAGCAAGAAACTGCTCAAGAAACAAAGGTGTGAAGACATCTCAAAAGGACACAGAGCTCCCAGTGGCCAAGGCAGGAACAATTTGAGCAATAAAAAAATAGCATAGCATTAGATTATAATTAGTATTGCAGATAAAATACAGGACCAGTTAAATTAAATTTCATTTAAATAGTGAATAATTGTTAGTGTATGCCTCACTGTAATACCTGAAAATGCCAGTTTTACATATCAATTATAGGTTGATACAAAGATATTAAGATAAATACATAGTAAAAATACATAATTCTCTTTCCATAACATAGGCTTAGTCATTCACAACAACGCCTTTCATTTCTTCTAAATGACACTAAATCTGAAAGTTCTCCCCAGAGGTAGTGCTATATCTGTGACCTAGACGGACGATGCTTTGCAATCATAGACAAGATGATGGCGCCAGTTGGAGGAAAAGCTGATAATCAATTATCCTCACAAATGTTGCATTAATAACATTTATTTCAGCTTCGTTAACACAAAATGTGACACCAAGTTTGTGCAGTGTCATACAGTTTAATTAAATTGAAGTGTCAATACTCTCCTCGCAGTTGACATTTCTTGCTCTGATCTGGCTCTCATGGTATTTAATGTTTAAAGTTTGTGAAATGGCATGTGTTTTCTTAGCAAGAAGACAGCATCGAAATTCTCTTAGCATTCTCCTCTTAGCTTTTAAGTGCACCTATTGAAACGGTTCTTAAGTGTAAGTTAAATCTGAAAATTACTTAATTAAAAAGATCCTAAGGTGTGTGTGTTTTGTTTTGTTTTTTCACAATGTTAAATGCAGCCGAGTCTTGGAAATAGTAGTTTCAGTAAAAATTTTCAGTCAAAAGCAGCAATCACCTCAGATCTTAAACCTCCGCAGATCAAAAGGCAAAACTTCATAGAGTTTGAGTTTAGAAAACTCTATTATAATAAAATAGTTTCTGTTAAGATGATTCAATGTCTAGCTCTTAAATTTTAAAACAGTGACACTGAAAACAAACTGGAATAACACACGTGAACAAATTTTAACATTTATTCTGAACCGACATTCTTCGTGGACTTGCCAAATTCAAAGCTATCCTGAAATTCCAAAGGGTTTTTAATTATAAATTCCACTAACTGAAAGCAACTAGAAAAAAAAAATGATTTTTTTTGGATCATTTCTCATTTGCTTGTGGGTGCTTATGAATAAAGAGTCGGTATATAGTTTGCTGGAGCACACACTCTCTCTCCCCTAATTTAAACCACTCTGGGAGAGCATGCACTGATCAAGCCCCCGCCCTCTTCCAGCACAGCGTGCTACTCCTCTGAGAGGGCTACTCCTTCTGCTTACCACTGATGAGAGACTGCACTTACCGAGCTGGGGCTGGAGTGCCGCCTAACCTTAGGAGACTCTTTGCCGCTGGAGGAAGTCTTAAAGTTAATGCAGGCATTGTTCTCTGAGTGCACCCTCTTTACTTGATTGGTGGGCTTCTCAAATGGGTCAAAAGTGCTCTGTGTCCTCTGAACCCTGACTTTCTTATCCTCAGGAATTGTGTCCAGGGGTTTGATCACTGAGTCCATTCCCTGGCAGTTCCGTGTAGACATCTTTGTGACACATATCTGGGGGAAAAAAGAAAAAGAAATTCCACTCAGAACTCTCCCCTGAAACTTGAATACCAAAAACATGCTGAATTGACTTGGATGGTGAACACACAATGCAATATACAGATGAGGTACTATTGAATTTTACACCTGAAAACGATATAATTTTATTATTAACCAAAGTCGCCCCAATGTCTTCAATACAGAAGAAAACTTTTAAAAATTTTTTAAAAGTTCTTTTCAGTCTAGAAGAAAGATAAATAATCAACTAATTTTAACATATGAGCATCGCTTTTTGGAGAAAAACATAATCTGGTAAAATGGACTATCTATTGTAATTTTTGAGTACTTTATATTGACCAGATGTGGCTATGGTACAACAGAGTTTTATCCTCATGGATGGATGGCTGATGTAGAACAAAATTAAAGTGTCTATAAGAATCTTTTAAAAAAACAAAACCATGCTGATTTGTTATTCTAAAAAGCATGCCACTTTTAATTTGGGGGAAGACCCAAAAAGGACACATTCTAAAAGCCACACCAGCTTAAATCACAATATGAAAAACTCCTCATAATCCCTCTGCTTATGTCACTAAAATGCTGCCCTAAAACGGGAGACTTAAGGCCTAGACTGCTAGTGCCCCAAGGTGATTCTTGAACTTTGTCACCTGTTTTACCATCTGACTGCAAGTGGGATTATTTCTGAATCATTAAGAAGTTGGGTATCCACTCCTAGGAATGTATCCTAAGAATCCTGAAACATTCATCAGAAAGGATATATGTACCCCGATGTTCATAGCAGCACAGTTTACAATAGCTAAGATCTGGAAACAGCCCAAGTGCCCATCACTAGATGAGTGGGTAAAAAAGCTGTGGGACATTTACACCATGGAATACTACGCAGCTGTAAAGAAGAAGAATCTCGTACCATTTGAGACAGTATGGATGGACCTGGAGAATATTATGCTAAGTGAAATAAGCCAGGCAGCGAAAGACAAGTATCACATGATCTCACTTNGGAATGCAGACTGGTACAACCACTACGGAAAACAGTATGGAGGTTCCTCAAAAAATTGAAAATGAAGCTGCTGTTTGACCCTGTGATTCCACTCATAGGAATGTATCCTAAGAACCCTAAAACATTAATCAGGAAGAATATATGTACCCTGATGTTCATAGCAGCACAGTTTACAATAGCTAAGATCTGGAAACAACCCAAGTGCCCATCAGTAGATGAGTGGATAAAAATGCTGTGGGACATTTACACCATGGAATACTATGCAGCTGTAAAGAAGAAGAATCTTGTACCCTTCGGGACAGTATGTATGGACCTGGAGAATATTATGCTAAGAGAAATAAGCCAGGCAGCGAAAGACAAATATCACATGATCTCGCTTATATGTGGAATCTAAAGAACTTAATATACTGATGAACAGAATAGATTCAATGACATGGAAGCATAGATGAGAGTGATGAATGTCAGAGGGATGGAGGAGGGCGGGTGGGTGGAGAGGGAGAGAGTAACCAAAGAATTTATGTGCATATATGCACAACCCAAGCACAGGCACAACGGTAGGGAGAGGGACTGGGGAGGGGGAAGGGTCAGGGTGCAATGGGTCCTTGGGGAGAAAAAGGGACATCTGTAATATTTTAAACAAAAATAAATTTTTTTTTTAAAAAAAGAAGTTGGGTAAACTTTCCCTAATTAAAAAATAAATAAATTCAGTTAAGCTAAATCAGATCATTGTTTTAACTCATGGGTCTTCTGGAAGCAGCTAACACAGACAAAAAGATCATAATGTTCTTCTAAACTTTTATGCTTGAATATGTATGTTTAAAATCTGCCTTCATCTTGATTTCATCTCCAAAATGGAATGGAGCAGATTAAAACATTACCATGGTTGGAGATGTTGAAAATTTTAAAAATAATGTCCTTTTAAATACCAAAACTAATGGATGAAAAGGAGTAATACCGGCAAAAGAAAAACGCTAACACATTTCAAAATTCTGCTGACATGACTCTGCTAGACCCTTATCCCCTTCCCGACATCTCCACTCACTCTTTCTGCGCAGCCTATCCCACTCTCTCATCTTATTTTAGTCTCTGACTTTTGCTCCTGGTTTTCTAATTTATGTCTAACTCTTTCCTTCTCCCTATACTCTGGAGACTTTGTTGTTCTTACTCAATAAATTTATGGCCTCTAGCTTGTCTGTAAAGCTAGGCAGCTTTATTATCCTCTCTAGAGAAAAGATAGCTCTAAAATTGCTTTTAAAGTTTTTTTTTTCTTTTTGTGAAGTTTCCACATCCCTTTACAAGGCAGAAAAACAGAAGATATTTCAGATAATCCTATATTTGTTAAAGTAAAACTATCAAGTGTCTGAGTAATATATATATAGGATGATTCCATGTGGGAATTAACGTATCTATGTGTAGGAACAGATATCAACAGATACAAATGTACATGCGGACAGATACAGACATAGATGTAGGCATCTGTATATATATATATACATATATATACATATATATACATATATATATGTATATATATGTTGTTATAAGCACAGTGAAATGTACAGAAAAAAAATCACACCAAATTCTGTGTGTAATTCAGCATCAACCTGTCCTAAGAGTGTCTCAACTACTAAGCACAGGTTAGAGTCTAATTAAGTCATATAAGAAGGACATCATCATATTTATTTATGAGACCAGAAAATAGCCAAAGATATTTTTAAAAGACAAAGTCCTCTACACATGATCAAAAACTTAACATTTACCACAAGGAGATCAGATACACTCAACATTTTTAAGGCTTTATGTGTCCTCCTTAAGAATGTGAAAGCCACACGCAATATAGGTGACATGGATGTGAAACCACCCACATAACCAAAGCAATTGAATTATAATTATAAAATATAAACGCCTGGGCCTGAGAAGTCAGTGCACCCCAAGAACAAGAAATACAAAGAAAATGGCACGAAGACACATCAATATCATATTGCTTAAAACCAGTGTTAAAGAAAATATCTTAGAAAGGACTAGGGGGTGGGGAGAAGTACTTTAAAAGATAGGTGTGACAGCGAATATTTGGAAACTAAATTAACGCAAAAGGAGGAATAGAAAGTATCTTGAACTAAATGAAGATAATACAAAATATAAAAATGGCAGGATGCTAAAGTAAAACTTTAGCTGTAGAAAAATTACAGTACTAAGTGTAAATAGTAGAAAAGACAAAAGGTATCAAAGCAATGAGATTATAACTTAAAATACTGGAAAAAGGAAGAGGCACCGAAACCCCAGAGAAGCAGAAAAATGAAAATAATGAATAAATATCAGAGTGGAAATAAATGAAATAGAAAACAATTAAGAAAGTCAATGAAACCAAAAGCTGAAGAAAGCAAAAATTAAGGACAAAAAACAAAGCACATGGATCTTTCAATTTACTGTGACACTTTCAGAAAGAAGCTAATCTCTCTGTTTCAGCCATAAAATACTGTTTCTTACTTGACCTAAAAGATTTACATATGTATATCTAAATCAAATGAGGTAGTAAATGTGTATAGAATGATAATATAAAAAGATATAAATGGGGACTGAATTGAATCATAAATAATGGGAAAATGGTGACCAGTTAGTTCCGAGTTCATATGAAAATTCTTAAGAATATCAATATCCCACAGTGGTTTCCCAGGCACCATGTTTCCCAGGCTCCCATCAGCAGAACACATTGGAGACTCAGCATCTTCCTGTCCATTTCCATGCAGGCAGAGATGTTGTCCACATTACTGCGCCCTTTTCCTACAGCGTCTTGTGCTCGGTACCCAGCCCACGGGAAAGCTCAATAAGGTTCTGTCGAATTAATAAATCAGATTTAAGAAGGTTCATTTAAATTAGTGGGTTTTCATGCTCTCTTGCTAAAAAGGGCTGGAGCTCTGAAACATTTATTATCCAAAAGCTATGGTCAAAAAAACACCAGGCTTGACACAAAAATAATAAACATATGCAGGGCGTCCAAAAAAATGTATACACATTTTGAATAATTATAAAGACAGTGTTTATTAAAATACATTTCATTTTCAAAATGTAACAGAATTGGCTTTTACAGTAATGTATACATTTTTAGGGGGACGCCCTGAATATACATGCATAAAATCCTATCAAACAGCCCTGGCCAGGTAGTTCAGTTGGTTAGAGTGCTGTCCTGATGGCCACGGTTTCAGGTTTGATCCTAGGTCAGGGCATATACAACAACCAACCAATGAATGCATAAATAAGTGGAACAACAAATCTCTCTCTCTCTCTCTAAAATCAATCAATTAATAAAGCTACCAACAAACGTAAGATTTTTTAAAAAACTACAAGCCCACTGTGATCAGTAGAATTCTAACATGACACCCATAGTCCCTCACCTTTGAATAATCCTCTCCCCTTTGAGTTGAATATGGTGAGATATCACTACCACAATGTTATATGATAGAGCAAATAGATTATCCTGGGTGGGCCTGACCTAATCAGGAGAGCTCTTTAAAAGTAGGACGAGCTCACCGGGCATGGCTCAGCGGTTGAGCGCTGACCTGGGACCCAGGCAACTGGGGGTTTGATTCCCGGTCAGGGCACATGCCCGGGTTGCGGGCTCGATCAATGACTCTCTCATCATTGATGCTTCTAGCTCTCTCCCTCTCCTTTCCTTTCTCTGAAATCAATAAAGATTATATTTTTTTTAAAAAAAGCAGGACGCTTTCTCCAGCTAGTCACAGAAGATAGAGATGCGATCTCGCTAGCCTGCAAGAAAGCAAACATTTCATGGCACAGGCAATGGGGCAGCCTCTAAGGGCTGAGAGTGGTCACTGGCTGACAGCCAGCAGGAAAATGGGGATCAGGGTACTACAACCACAAGAAAATAAGTTCTGTCAACAACTAGTGAGCTTGTAAGAGAATCCTGAGCCCCAGGTGAGAACCACGACCACACCCAATACCTTGATTTCAGCCCAGTAAGACCTAGGGCAGAGAAACCAGC